TGACCCCTAATCATACAAGAATTGACTTGCCAAAACATTAGTTTAATGACTCCAAATCATACAAGCATTTCCTTTCCAAAATATAGGTTTGATGACCCTAAATCCAAGTGTCAGGACTATACAAGTCTTAACTCATTGTAAGTGGATGCAATGATCATGCTCAAAACCCTCTTTAAATAATAATAATTTATCATTGTTTCTGAAACTCATTGAAAAGTATTTTTGTGAATACACATATATTACTTATAATATCTCACACAAAAGATACACATATAAGTAAAAATATACGAAAACTTAAAGCACAAATAAGAATAGGGATATGTATTTTTGGGCAATGAACTTACTTCAACTTGTTACAATACCATACTTCATTTCCAATGTTGTTTGGATGTCTGGTTGCTACCTAAGGATCTGTATAAATTAAGTAATTATTATTAATTACATTCTAAATGTCTTAATCAAAGTTGTTAATCTTAAATATCTCATTTTAATATTTGATTATCATCCCTAAGATCGTAAGATAACATTGGAAGAAACTATAGTTGATTTGGACATTCAATGAAAATTTTCAAAATTTTCTTAACATAGGATTACTCGGTCATGTAGAATGTTCCTATTTCCTGACAATACCACTTCGAGGTTTAAGCACTTTTAAGCTTCCAAATCAATCCTAACTCCCTCCTTTTAACTCCTAATGAGTTAGTATGATTATATAACATTCAAATTCATGTTTTAGACCATAGTTAACATCCCATTTGATTCATTTTCTAGATGCAAATATAATGATTTGTAGTTTCAAAATGTTGATTAATTGCATTAGAAATCACATTAACATTTAATAAGATACTAGCTTCAAATGATGATTCAATACAATCAAACATGATCCTTACTGATTTAAACTAGATTTAAGATATAATTTGAAATTTTAATAGATTAAATTAAAGATTATATCAAATCTAAAGCTAGAACTTTAGTAAAGCTTATTGCAAGTATCAGGGCCGACCCTAAGGGTGTGCGGGGTGTGCAGCCGCACAGGGCCCCGGAAAAAATAGGGCCCGATTTTTGGTTAAATTATATAGTTAATATGTGTATATATATTAATTTACGCAACCTTTTAGAAATGTAACTTTTGGTTCAGTTGGCAAGAAGTGTAGTTGTATCTTGTTTCATTCAAAGCCATCGGGGTTCAATTCTAGGTTCCACCTTACTTTGTTGGCTTTTTGTTAAAGTTAGTATTGCCTTTGATTTCTTGATAGCAATATCGCCTTTAAGTACTTAAATTCATATTTGTCTTTTTTTTTTGTCCTTAAATTAATTAGTTTTTTTTCTTTTTTTTTCCTAAATATACGTTACCCATCCGATTGACTATAATTTATAAGGCTCTAAAGTAATTTAGTCCATTAAACAATCCAATTAGACGTTTTCCTTTTTTTTTCTTTTAATTAGTTCCCATTCTTTTTAATCGTCGTCACCCACAACAATTAAACTTTATTTATTTATTTATTTATTTTATTGGAACGGCAAATAAATATATATCTCCTCTATCTATGATTAAACCCAAGACCTCCTAGTTAGTAGTTAGATTAGAACCACCATGTTAGCCAAGTAGGCTACCCCAACTTGTCACAACAATTAATGATCATCACCTAAGTATCTTATTCCATTAAGAAATCGCAATTAAATGATTTTAGTCTATTAGTCTAATTAAATTAATTCAGGCGTTATGAATGTTGGTATAACTATGTAAGATAATCTATTGAACCATCGTTTTTTTTTATAATAATATTGACAACTTAATATTAACTTTGTGTGTGTATATATATATAGGGGCCCATTATTATTTTGCGCATCGGGCCCTCAAAATCAACGGACCGGCCCTGGCAAGCATATATGCTCAAAATAAAAAATGGAGTTGATAGCTTCATAAATTAAAATTCACATTAAATTAGAAGTTAAAACGATTATTCAAATCACATTGATCAATCAAAACCATTTTGGGATGGCTAAGCACATTGTTTCATCATTCTAGGGTTTGAAGATCTTCTAAAACATTGATTTATTCCCATTCTTACTCATCAATGATAAATTCATCAATGATAAATTGCAACTAGATTTGCAACATAAACATAGAACTAACTGAATAATACATTATACACCATGATAATAATTTTCAGTTGATTTCTTAAAGCCTTTTGATGTAGAAACTTGTGATAAAATAATAATAATAATAATAATAATAATAATAATATAGATCATCTTTATCGGTATGCACACCGTGAAAATAACAATGGCCATCGTTTTCTTGTGTTGGTTTCATTAAGATTATGACCGTGCCAAAATCATACAAACTTAAGTTTGGTTCGATAGTGTTAAATTAAACTTGGATGACTTTAAAATACATATGAAAGTTACATCCAATAGAACAAGTTTGATTTAAAGCTTTAACCAAAACTATTTAACATAGGAATGAAAAAACTCCATAAAAGTTCGAGTCAAGATGTTGGAAAATAAAAAACTGAAACTCACTAATAGAATGTTTAGAGCTTATTTCATGTTATACTTAAACAAACTCCACAAAAATTCAACCGAGTGGAATTTGAATAGTTGTGTCTTGTGACTTTTTTTGGCAGCCCTAACTACGTATACTTTGGATCCGACATGACCCGGCCGACCCGGCCAACAACTTATTTTTGTATCTCTGTACCCTTTCAAAATTTCACCTGAACCAAAGCCAAAGGGAAGTAGGGAACTACTTTTTCCACTTTATGTACATTGAGACAATAATAGTAGCTCCCAATAATTTGCTTTGGCCCTTGGCTCCATGCCAGTTTCTTAGCCACCAAGCATCGCCACCTTCATTCAATCGCAGCCGTTCACTATGTAGGGTCAAACCCCACATCACATACCATTTTCCATAAATAGAAAATAATAACATAAATTAATAATATACTTATTTTATTTGTTTTGCTTACTTTATTGCTGTTTTTATGCCTAATATTTTTTTTTAAAGAAATCTTTATAATTTAATAAAAAATTACATTTAGATTTAATGAAAACATGTTTATAGTAATCCTATACAAATTGACGAATATGTTGTTTATTATTATAAAATCATATAATTTGCAATTCATTTAAAACTGCCATAGATTATTGTTTTTTTACTAGTATATTACTATATTAGTACATTTATAAAATATTATATCATACAGAGTATGTTGTAGAAAGTACACTTAATTGTATTTATATAAAAATAAGACAGAAATTATAAATGGTCCTTATGGTTTTCCTAATTCTTATGTTTCGTCCTTAACTTTTTTTGTTGACGAAGATAGTCCCTGTGATTTCATTTTCTTGCATGGCTAGTCACTAATCCATATAAAAGACTTTTATACCATTGTCCATTTATATATTCTTTTTCCTTTTCTTTTAGATATTATACCATTTTTTATGATTTTGCATTTTTCAATGATTTTTATAACTAATATTGTTAATGTAGGACCCACTTTCCCTTTCTTGTCTTCTTCATCATCCATTGTGACCGACGACTCTATCTTTTCCGACAACTTTATCATCCTTCTATTACTTCTCCCGGATAAAATCAAGAATCAAAGCACCAAAGTCATCTATAACACTAAAAGTCTACCATAAAATGAAGTTTACAAAACCAAAACCTATAAATGAAGAAAAAAAATGAAACCTAAACTCCCAAATAAAAATTGAAACTCAAAAACAAAGAAAATTCCAAAATTAAAAACAAAACTAAAACTAAAACACAAAATTAAAAAAAAAAAAAAAAACTCACTTATAAACAAAACATCCATTCTTGTTCTATGCTTATGGCGATCCAAGATTGTTCTTTCATATCATAAAATCAAGAAGAAAAATTATGTGTGTTTGTCTTGTTTTGTGTCCATTAAACAAATTGAAAAGAATCAGGAACTGCATAATCTAAAGCGATTGAAAAGAATCATAAAAACATATGATAACCAACTAATGATTCATTGAAGGAACTACATAATCGATTAAAGAAAATAGAAAATCAATCTGATAAGCTGATTCACAAAAACACCAGCCTTTTTTTTGTAAGGATTCGAAACTGGGTGAAGATGTCAAACAGATAAAGAGCATCAACCCATGGAAGTTGGTGGTGATACCAAATAGATACACACCTTATTGCTCCGCCTTGGACCACCACGTCCAATTTACCGGTAGAAATGGAAAGGACGAAAGTGGAGTTAATAGAGGGCACTACAATGGTTGTAGTGTTCGTTTACAATATAAAGCGATAAGAATAGAGGAAGGGGCGATAAAAGGTATTATTGGTGGGGGAGGAAGCATCAATGAAGGAGAGAAGGAATAGGGTAGTTCGATGACGGGAAGAAGGGATGAAGTTAAGGGGGGCAGCAGAGGGTCTTACAGATGGAGAAAGGAGATGTAGTTAGCGAAGGAAGCATGATGGTTGTCGATGGTTTCAGATTTCCAATCGATGACGATGTCTTCTGATTTGTGTTTTGGAGCCTTGAAGACGGGGTGTGAGAGCGAGGTGGGATGGGAGTAGGTATGAGTGTGGGTTTTAGTTATTCTTGTTTTTTAATGAAAAATAGTTAAAAGAAAAATATAAAATACATAAAGAGTACGAAAGTCATTTTACATGGACCAATGACTAACCACGCAAGAAACTGAAATTACACGGACCATCTTCATCAACAAAAATAAGTTAGGGACAAAACATATGAATTTGAGAAAACACAAGGACCATTTATGTAACTTTGTCTAAAAACAATGGATCAAAAAGACAAATCACAAAAATATAATGTAAACCCAATCACCTTTGTTAAATTGGATTTAAAAGACAGACATGACCCCACCTGGCCACCACCACTCCCAAAGCGGCTACTTTCCACTTTACTTTACTCCCCACCTCTAAGACTCTATTTTCTAATCATTCATGGTGTTCATCTCCTTCGTTGCTTCACGTAGTGGTTTTTCCTCCCTTAAAGATGATCCGCCCTCCCCTCCCACCGGCGTACGAACCACCAGAACCACCATCAGTTTACTGTACTCCATCACCCCAGTCGCGAGCCACCACCCCTTCTCCTCTCCCCCGTTTTTTCATCTCAAAACAACAATCCATAATACCATCTCCTAAAAGTATCCAATTACAAACCATGATGACACCGACGACGGAGTTTCTCTACCAGAACTTCCCAAAAACCAGAGACAAACTCCTGCTAAGAAACCACCGCCGGACAGATCCGGCCATCTGGTGCAGCGCCATCATCTGTATGATCTTCAGCGTCCTCGTAATCTTGTTTGGAATCACAACTTTGATCGTTTTTCTTGTTGTCAAGCCAAAAAACCCTGTTTTTGACACAAATCATGCGAGTCTGAACGTCATATACTTCGATTCGCCTGGGAATTTCAATGGAGATTTGACTTTCATCGCTAATTTCTCAAACCCTAACAGGAAACTTAATGTGAGATTTGAGCACGCTGTTCTTGAACTCTATTTTGATAACAACTTGATAGCGAATCAATCGATCAAGCCTTTTAGTCAGCGGCAACGGGAGACGGGGGTGGTGAAGATTCATTTCATATCGAGCCTTGTGTATCTGCCACGTAATCATGCCATGGAGCTTCAAAGACAGGTTTTGAGCAACAAAGTTTTGTATAGTGTGAGAGGAACTTTTAGAGTGAGAGTGAGCTTCGGTTTGATTCATTTCTCTTACTGGTTGCATGGCCGATGTGAGTTGCAGATGAGTAGTCCGCCGGCTGGTTTTCTTATGGCTAGAAGCTGCATCACTAAGAGATGAAATTCAAATTCCATGTTTTAATTTGCTTTTTCCTTCAACAGCTTGAATTGAGATCTGAACTCACTCAATTCAATGATATTCCATGTGTGTTTAGGGGAGATTAAGCAACTGTATAATCGATTGTTGAACTCTATACATACCTCAAAAAAATGTATATACAAGGAACAATCTGCTCAATTATTCTCATATTCTGTTTCCCCTCAACATAAGATTAGTGTATATATATATATAAATATGTTGTTTTGTTTCCATTAAGAAAACATTCTAAGAACTGATTTTATTCTCCCCTCTTGTATGGACCTAACATGTTTTAAAAGATTGATCACTTTTATCATTTTCAGACGAGAATATGACATACCCAGTAAAGAAAATGATATAAAAATGAGATCTTGGGATCTTTACCCAGTGTCTGTTCTTTCACGAAATCGTTCTTAGAACTCTGAAACACACCTAACTAGAGGTTTATTTATTTCATAATATAATGGTTTATTGATCAGATCTAGAAGGATCAGACTCCACAACTCAACAGATCGTACAATTGAGTTCAGATACCCGTTACAGTTTTAAACGATTAGAGAAGAATATATGATACACCCATCAAAGAAAATGACAAAAAAATGAGATCTTTGGTATCTTTACCCACTACCAAAAGCAAGATACTTGAGGAACAAAGAAACATAAAAGGATAAAGCAGATATATCTCCATTGCATTCTACAGATGTATATTTCGACTTTTGTGATCAAACCTACTATTTACAAAATTTATAATTCTTGTGAAATTTCTCATATTCAAACATCAACTGACATGATACAGTATCAATCAAAAAGTATATCATTATTTCATTACTAAATACCAATTTCAGATGGTGTCTTTGCCTCTATCGATAAGGCGTGTAATCCACTCTGTAACTCCTTGTCTAAAAGGGAATAAATAAGCCTATGTCTTTTAACCAAACTCTTGCCTTCAAACTACATTGAAACCACCTTCAATTTGAAATGTGTCTCACCATTGCTACCTTTCACACCTGCATGACCAGCATGCTGATATGAAACATCTTCTACTTCCAATTGAATAGGTTGCAGCTCTTTGTTTAAAATCTCTGTAATTCTCTGTCCTCTGCTTCCTAATACCAAATCATTTGACTTTGAATCAACAACATCTGAATCAGTGTTTAATGGAAAATCAGAACTTATTGAACCAGAATCGACATTGTTTTGGGGGTTTTCAACAATCCCAGTTGTTGATTCAATTCCTTTCTCGGCTTCAACGTACAACATCAATGCCTTCTTTTGCATTAACTGAAACATATTCAAGAACCCATTGTTCCTTGAAGGAGACAAGCTCTGTTTCAAACCCAAAAGCGTAATAAAATCAGGCGAGATACGGAGGATTTCTTGAACAGTGGAACCAGAAAGACCTTGAACCAGTAAAGCAGCTAAGCCTTTGGTGATTAAAGCATCAGATTCAGCTTCAAAGATGACAGTTTTCTTATGAGAATCATCAAAATAAGCCCTTAACCAGACCTGAGAAACACAACCTTTGACCTTATTCTCTTCAGTTTTGAATTGGGGATCAAGCGGTTTAAGGTTTTTCCCGTAGAACAAGAGCTGTTCGTATTTGGCTTTTGGGTCTTGTACGGATTGGAAGAGTTTTGCGATTTCTTGAAGCTTTTGAGGGAGTTCTTCGAAGACTTGAGAGCCGGATGTAGTTTGTAAGGAGGGTTCAGGGGAAGAGGGTTTTGTGGGGGTGGATTGAACGATATATGATTTCTCAAGTCGGAGTTTTTTCAGGGGAAAGGATAAAAGTGGGAAGGATGATGGTGGTAAGGGTAGGGTTTTGAAGGTTGAGGATGAAGGTGAAGATAAATTGGCGTAGAGATGACGGAAAGGCGAGGAGAGATACATGTAGACGGCGGACGACGTCGACGACGAGGAAAATACGACGGATGTGTGATGTGTCTTCTAGAGCGTTGGAGAACAAGTGTCGCGGAGACCCGTCGCTGGTTGGTTTTATCTTCAAGACAACATACTACAGATTTTATTTAGACTAAAGTGCACAAACCGTCCGTTTTGCTCAAAATAGTCATTATGGTCCAAAAAGATTTGGATCAGCACCCCACGTCCAAAGTTTTCATTTTATTGCGGGTTTGATCCAAAACACTTTATAAAAATTCTTCAAATGACGGATTTGCCCTCTCTATTTGTTTTTCCCTTTACTATTTTTTATTATTTAATTACAAAGGGTCCCACCCTCTCTCTCTCTCTCTCTCTCTCTCTCTCTCTCTCTCTCTCTCTCTCTCTCTCTCTCTCTCTCTATATATATATATATATATATATATATATATATATATATATATATATATATATATATATATATATATATATATATATATATATATACCCCTGGACAATCGTTCAAGAACATATACAATCAAAAACAAACCCCCTTCCCCTTGTTCTTCCTCCCTGCAACCCAAACCCACCAACAACCTTCCTCTGTCTTTCTCGAGTGGATATCGTCTTCCAAAATCGATTTTTTGTGTTCAAACTATTTGTTGTGAATCATTTTTTTGGGAGAAATCAATTTCTGGGTTTCATCTTCTCCAACCCAATTTATGGGTTTCATCTTCTCAATTTCTGGGTTTTATCTTCCATCATCGGCAGATAAGGTATCCTTCGTCGTCAAAGGCGTTGGCGAAGGCGTCATCGTTGAAGAGAAAGATGTCCCTTTTCAGAGCCTTCATCAGATTAACTAATAGGTATGGTAACGGTAGTCCTAGAAAAGTCGAAGAAGGCTAGATATGAAGATCGAGGTCGCTGGAGCCACAACGAACCCTAGCTCCCGATTAGGGTTTTGTCGTCGCTGCTATGCAGATCCAATTAGAGCTTCACCTCCGCTTCAAATCTATCTCTCTCACCGTCAATCTGAAATCCGTCACCGTCGTTGCTGTGAAGATCCACTGCAAAAACCCTCGCTGTTGTGAAGATCCATAGCAAACCATTCCTTCCTCTTGTTATAAACGAAAACATTTTTTTCTTCATCATAATCTTTCTGTCATTCGAAACCAGAAGCTTCAAATCGATTTGGTGATGGGGTAGACAGTTTCAATGGACATGAGAATGCTTCAAACTGTAGCACGGGCAAGAGGAGAGTGAAGCAAATAAACGGTGTTCTTGAAGTACAAATTTTCATTGGTTTTATAGGACTTCTTTTGGTTATAAAGGTTTGAAAATTGTGGATTTTTGAGGTTGTAAGCTTCATATTGTTTGTGTTTGCAGTGGTATTAATTTCATGGAAGCTTGGTATAAATCGAGAGAGAGAAGTAATTTCTTTTTTATTTTTATTTTAATTAGAAAAGTTTTTAAATAAATAAAAAAAAAACTCAAAATGAAAAAAGTAAGGGTAAAATCGTCATTATAAAAAAATTAAAAACAAATTGGACCAAACTCGCAACAAAATGAAAACTTTAGACCTGTGGTGCTAGTCCAAACTTGTTTGGACCAAAGTGGCAATTTTGAGCAAACCACAGGGACCATTTGTGCAGTTTAGTCTTTTATTTATGTTAATTTATGACAAATTGCAAGAATGGTCCCTGTGGTATGTCAAAACTAGCAATTTTGGTCCAAAATGGGTTTGGCTCGCAAGGATGGTCCAATAGTTTCGTTTTGTTGCGAGTTTAGTCCAATTTCCTATGAACTTTTTTATAATGACGGATTTGCCCCTTATTATTTTATTTTCTATTTTTCTTTTATTACAATAATTAAAAACAATTAAAAATAAATTAAAAATAAAACAAAAATAAAATACCCTCTCTCTCTCCACCTTATTCCCCCACATTTTTTTTTCTTTTTACCCAAGAACAGTTCATATTCTTCATCTTTTCCTTCTTAATCAAGATGGGTTTGTGCATACCAAATTCAGGTGTTCCTGGATCTAATCTCCATGATTCCATCATCGCCTCTCAAAAACCCATAAAGCAATGATGAAAACCCAGGAAATCGACTTCATGGATGTTTCGGTAAGTTTTTGAAAAATAACGAGGGGTGAGTTTCTGAAAATCGACTCTATGTATGTTTCCAAGGTGGGGTTTTTTTGGATATCTAATCCATTTCACCGCCGCTGATGGACATCGTCAATGTATCTCCGTCCGATGGCCTTCATTAGCTGCCTAGAATCACCGTGAAGATCTGAAAGAGCATCGCCACAACTGTCCTTTCCGATTATCCCTCTCACCGTCAATCTGAAACCCTTATCGGTGAGAGTGGATGATGAGAAAGCACTGGTGGTGAGAAGCAATGGGAAATGGACATGTGAGGAAAATGAGGACGAAGGGGAAAGTACCCCAGATTGGAAAGGAGACCTCCTCAGAAGCTCATGAGGAAATTCCAACTGTATGATAACTGTGTCGTGTCGGCCATCACCGCAAGTTGCGGAAACGAGGTGTTGACAGTGATGGTGGAGAAGATTCCTCCGCCATACAAATCCAGGATTGTTGAAGTGGATCGTAATTTTAGGAATGTTTATTTGGTTGGGTTTAGGGTTTAGTTCCCATATTCATCAAAGCTTTTAAGAATCTCCAAACCCCAAAAAACTCAAAACCTAGAAAATCAAAATCGAAACAGTAAAACACCTAAGGGCAAATCACATTCCTGGGTGGGTATCGTTTGCAGTTCGTCAACAAATATAGAGGTTAAACCTTTATCTTTGCTCTTATGAGTAAGTGTGCAGAAAATTTGTATTTCATTCTTCAAATATGAAGAATTATATATTTAAATCTGAATCTCTTTCAAAACATCTTCGTAATCCTACCCTTGTCCTAATTTGCTTCCGATTGTGTTCACTATTGAAGGATGGACGTTTTTTTCTTGAGTACCCGGTTGAGTTGTGGGTTCGATAATGGTGGTGGGATTGATTTCTTCACCAAAACATTAACACGGCAAGAAAGAAGTGTTTGAGGCTTGATTAATTATGTGTTTTCTTTTTGTGTGTGTGTGTGAGAGAGAGAGAGAGAGATTTTATTTTTGTTTTATTTTTAATTGTTGTAATAAAAGAAAAATTGAAAATAAAATAATAAGGGACAAATCCGTCATTATAAAAAAGTTCATAGGAAATTGGACTAAACTCGCAACAAAACGAAACTATTGGACCATCCTTGCAAGCCAAACCCATTTTGGACCAAAGTTGCTAGTTTTGACATACCACAGGGATCATTCTTGCAATTTTGTCATAATTTATTGTATTTTAATGACCAAAATTACATAAAAAGTAAAAAATCATTGTAACTTGGTTATTTAACCATCTAACTGTTTTCTGATTTAACCATGAAAGTTTGTTATTTAAAAAATATCGCTGCCTAATCTTAAAAAAAATTATGAAAATTACAATAGATTGCAATTTGTTCTGATTTATTTTATTTAACCACTTAACCTTTGAATTTCAAAAATAAACAACTTTGACCAAAAAGATAATTCTTCTGATTATATTTTGCAAGTCATTACCGGAAAAACTCACGGGATTATTTGAAAAAAAAAACTATTTCAAATGTGATACGGTAAAATTTGATAGTATACAGTTATAACAACTTTTAGCAAGCTCTGAAATAGGTTTGGTTTTAAAATGGACCAAAATATGAAAAAATGTTTGTGTAGCTATAAAAAATGTACATGTACATCCACTACTAGAATAAGAACTGACATAGAATGTATGTTTTCCAATTTTCATATTTTAATAAGTATAGTTTAAAAGATTTTTATCAATCATATATCTATATATCTATTATATAATTAGGATAGGGTTTAGTAAGGCAAGGTAGAAGAAGCTCTACTCTACCATCCATAGGCGTATTATAAGTAACATATGATGATTTATGATTATCGAACCCATCCATCCATCCATCCATTATGCCAAACAATCACAAACAAACAATCACAATTACTGTAACACCACATATGTCTGTCTGTCTAAATGGAAGGAACCCAAAAACGATATCATCTCAAAACCAGAAATAATTTCACCACCAAGCATATCATGTTTCACTCGTCATCTGTCCCAAAATATCTGTCACCAAACTCTCCCATTCCAGGAAGCACACGGAACTCATCATTCAACCCTGTCTCTATCTCTGATGTCACTATCTTTATCCTTGGAAACTGCTTGCACACTACATGCACTCCTTGTGGTGCCTGTTAAACATTTATTAGTCAACAACATACTTTCATTGGTTGGTCAACATTGACTTGACTTAGACTTTTAGGCTTACAGATATCAAATTGAGGAATATGATGTTGGCCTCTGGTACACCTTTCTTTAAAAGCAAAGAAATAGCCTGAACAGCTGAATTACCTGTCAACATAACAAATTATAGTTACTTCCAATTACCACAAAACATTCCAACAAACGAGAGACTTGTGAAAAAAAAAAAAAAAAAAAAAAAAAAAGTAACAAAACTAACCTGTTCCTAGTATAGGATCCAACAACAACACATGCCTATCAGAAATGTCTTGTGGCAGTTTTTCATATATTAACTGCATAATAATAATAAAAATGTGTTGTTGTTTCAAATTATTATACAAATTTAAATAGTAACCTTACTTCACTTTCTCTAACAAACCTGTTGCCCATTGTCACCTTCTCTATGAATAAGAATCTTTCCGATCTTGATACCTTTACAACATGCTCTCAGTGCATTTTCCATACTCTCACCACTGCAAAACAATCCAAAACTCATAATTCATAATTCATAAATTTAATATCATCTGAAATGATTATGGTTAAATACCTTCTAATAACAGAAACACCACATAATCTCTTACAAAAATCTACACCTGTGTATACAGATCCTGCATTTTTTTTTTTTACACAAATCATCAACTTAATGATAATAATAATTTAGGGAAGAAATTCA